AGGGACAGAGGGATGGAGGAATGGAGCTATCAGCAGAGAAGTGATGAAGGTCTGGGATCGGGCCAAGATAAACACAAGCCAGCCCAGAAGGAGCTGCAGCAACACACACACACACACACACACACACACACACACACACACACACACATTTATGACCAACAGCACATACATGTACAAATGCACAAACACCCAAACACATGAGGCTGCTAGCACTTTATATCCATCATGCACTTACATGTACACAAACACACCCATGCATGCACGTATGAACACACACACACACACCTGCAGAAAAATAAACAGTTATGTATGGCTCCCCGACCACAGCTTCTTGAGTGTTAAGCTGTGTGACAACAGGCCGGGCTGTCATTTTGACATCTCATTTCATCACATAGTTCACATTAGTCCATTTGCTCAGATACCACAGAGTAAACACGAAGCCAAAAGAAATGGTTGGAGTTTTATTTTTAAACACGACGAATAAACAGACTCAAGAGTTATTTGAGCCTTCAGAAAATCCCTCTTCGTTTTTGGCAGTCATTTAAATCCAGCTTGGAGAAAGAACCTTGTCCTTTGTAATTACCATAAATCCTCAAAGAAGAAAAAGTCAGCGGTGTCCTGAAGATTTAATCATAACGCAGGGACATTGGGACATTTTTTTTTTGCCGCTACTGTTAATGTGCACGCATGCGTGCTTCTTTCTTTTTTCAGTGTATTTGTTCAAATGTGTTCAGATGTGTGTGACTGAGTTTCATTAGCGTGCTGTGAAGCGCAGGCTCTCCTGCTCCGTCTTGTCTCCAACTGACTAACATCTCGAGTGAAACCTTAAAAATCTGCTAAATGTTATCTTAAGCGTGGCATTCAGAGGCAAAACTGCAGTGTGAAAGAGCTGCTGCGAAGCGTGTCGCGCTGGAATGCAAAACACAAGTCATGGTCATCGTCCTGTCACCGCACAGGTTTGAACTGCGAGGACCTACGCTCATTTTTAACTGCAGTCTGTTAAATTTCCCTTAAGCATGGCACTTAATGGTGACTGCTGTGTGAAACAGGGGGCAATGATCATGTATCCATCTATCCTACAGAAATAAAGATTAATCAGATGCTATTTAAAGATTCAGTGTTATTTTTTTATCGTTTTGATCGTTAACTCGGTTTTCCTGGGTCTTTTCACGTGTGTTATGAATAAATCTTCTTTTTTTCGGTACCGGTACTAATTTTATTTTGTTGTATTTATGCAAAATATTGTCGAGCATAAACCGGTCCGTGGCGCAAAAAAGGTTGGGGACCGCTGCTAGAAAGTGTATAATAGATTAATTAATCTACTATGACATAACCTGTAAGAGCCTTGAGCTGAGCATTTATCACCATATTGGTTCACTCAAATCGAGCCAGGTGGGGTCTGTGAAAGCAAGAGGTGGGAATCACCTTATGATGATACTCAACTCTCAGAACAATACTATAGCACTTTAATGCAGAGTATTACAACAACATATGTGATGAAGCATGTGAAAGATGAGGATTGTGCACAAAAACACTCAAGCAATGCAAATATTTCTCAAACATACGTCTGAATAATGTAGTTTACTGAACAGTTTTTGATGAATAAACTGCAATTAACCAGTGCACTATTTTTCCCTAAATACTCATCCAGCACAACTCTCAAATATGAGGGTAAACCCACCGTGCTTAGCACAGCCACAAACTCCTACAGGTGGAATCTGGACAGTCACCTTTGGTGATGCTGCAGACTTTTCCATCTTTAGACTGTGGCGATAACGTGCTGTAGACTGTGATGGTGTGTCAGTTTCTTGAAAACCTTGCAGAGATTTTATCAGAAGTGTAATCGTTTATGAACGTGCTACAAGTGACTATCTATTATACATAATAGTCACTAAACCACAATAATTTGTGAAATATACACCTGACATCTTCATATTAAACATTTATAGAAAATAAAGACAGAAATATGGCTTCTATTCAGAGTCTAGTTAGAGGAAAATTTTAATATAAAAAAACTAAAATTCTCGACCGGGTTGGTTTTTGCATGGAGTCTACATAGTTGTGACATATTGCAATGTATTACCGTTTTGTTTTTTTTTCAGGTGAAAATTATGTAAACTTTGTTCTGTTCCTCTCACTTCAGTAATTTTTATTCCTTCAAAATGGGATTATCAAACACACACACACTGACCAACACTGTTACTGAAACCTATGGTAAACCTGAGAAAGTGAACTGTTCAACTCTTCAAAGTTTAACTTAAGTGGAAGCAAAAATGTGTGAGTTATGATACTATTAAAAGTATTTAGTCTCTAGTTTTCTGTGAGATATGAATGCACAGTCAGTTCACATGTCACAATTTAACGCAGCTCTTCCTGCTGTACTCAGGCTTTGCTCAGGTTTTCGTTAGCCCGGGTACGGCTGTGCTCGTGCAGCTCTGTCACATACCTGCATTTGATTGTTCCAGTGGGAAAAAACGTATTTCCCACATCATTTTATTAAATTTGCCTAAATGCAGTTGATGGATTTTTATTTTCACTCTGAAGTGTAAGGTAGTTTTGTCAAGCTAAGTGTGTCCAGTGTTGGTTGGTTTCTCGGTTGATTTAACGTTAGCTTTGCTGTGACTGGCTAACGTTAGCTTAGGATGGTGGGACGTAAGATAAACCTTCATTTTTGTAGTATAAAGGTTGCTTTCATATGACACTTCTTGCAAATCCCACGTGACATGTCCATCTCATTTGTTCCACAGGTTTGTGATTTAAACCTGGACAGCACTTTTTTCAAATTTCTTTCTCCAAAGCCTCCATCTTTCTTCCTTCCATACACTGACCTCATGTCACTCACTAGAAAAACTCAATAGCATCTGCTGGTAGAGTTAAAAGGTAATTCATTTTATTATTATAGTACTAAAAACGTATTTCCAGTTTATATATAAAGATATCAACATTTGGTGTCCCTGTGTTAATAAAATATTGATATGTAAAATATTGCAATGCGATGCTGGGAACCCCTATGAACCACATCTCATGTCCATCCTATATCCTTTTTATCACTGATGTATGTGAAATATTTATTTATTAAAAAGATGAAAGATTTCCAAACCAACCTGGCCCTGTGTGACAGTCATTGACATCTATCAGTCGGGAAAGGTTTGCAGTACAAAGTCATTTCTAAGGCTTTGACACTCAGGTGAACCACCATGACAGTCATTATTTACAAATGAAGAAAAACTTGGAACAGTGGTGAACCCAGGAGTGACTGGCCTACGAAGTTACTCCAGGAGAGCATCAATGACTCGTTTAGAAGGTTAGAAAAAAAAACCCTGAAAAACAACTAAATACACCATTTACCTCAGTTTCAGTCAGAGTTCATGATTCAACAATAAGAATGAAATTAGACAAAAATGGCATCCACGGTACAGCTCCAAGGTAAAAATCATTGCCCACCAAAAAGAACATAAAGGTTGGTCACATGTTTGTCAAAAAAACAGAGGAAAAAAAACATTCTGAAGAGCCCAAAGACCTTTGGGAAAGTATTCTGTGCACTCATGAGACTAAAGTTAAACTTCTTGGAATTTTTGAGTCCCGTTACCTTAGGAGTAAAACTATACAGCATTCAATAAAAAGATCAGTCAAACATGGTGGTGGTAGTGTGATGAGCTGGGGCTGCTTTGCTGCTTCAGGACCTGGACGACTTGATGTAATTGATGGACACATGAATTCTGCTCTCTCCAAAAAAATCCTGAATCCTGATTTCTGGACATCAGTTTGTACATGAAGCTGAAGTTCACTCAGGTTAATTTAGACAGTTCTGCAAAGAAGAGTGGACCAAAATTCCTGCACAGCCATGTAAAAGACACATTGCCAGTTATCACAAATGCTTAATTGCAGTTCTTGCTGCCAAAGGTAGCACGACCAGTTATTTGGTTTAGGAGGCAAAGATTTGTTCACAAAGAGCCAAGTAGGTTTATTTCCTTTTAATAAATAAAATCATCATTTAAAAACTGTATTTTGTATTTGTATTTATGCAACAAATATTACAATTTGTGTGATGATCTGAAGCATAACAAATATGACCGAAAATAAGAAATCAGGAAGGGGGAAAATCCTTTTTCACCTCAAAACAAATGAATTATTTTGCAGCTGAAATTTTCACCCTTAATGGCACTTAAAGACTTGAAGGTTGCAGAAACAAACCCAACAGCCCTCACTTACTAAGATCTTATTCTCGTGTAAAGCTGCCTGCATAGCTCCTCTCAGAAAACACAGTTATTAAAAAATAACAATGTCTGCAAGTGCATGTATGTGCGTGTTTCCCGGGAAATTTACCCCTTTGATGCTCTCAGATTAGTAATCCCCCTGAGTTGTGGTTGTGAATGTGGTGGTGGTACTTGTGACCTGGTGGGTGGGTGTTTTATACTGCAACCTGCATGCTAGTTCAAAGCCCCCTGTGCAGTACGAGGGGGATAAGAGGACACATGAAAGCAGCACTTGACAACATATACCGTCTAAAAGATCACAGGGCCAAATAGCAAGAAAGGTGCACCAACATAAACAAATCAAACACACCTACATTTTAGTTTGTCCATTGAAGTGCACCCACATGTTGGGGGCTCTTAACGGCACTGATGTAGCAGATGTATCAAGCAAGATAAGTACTTTGGAGGGTTACTGACGCAAAGGTTTGCAACTTGCTAATGTACTACAGAGAACATTAGCAATTTTTCCAATTTTTGGAAAATAATTCACATATCTCTTGACTCGTTATACATTTGTTATCTTTTTTGGTTTTTTGCAGAAAATAGATGTTGGCCTGTTTGAAAGCGTCCTCATCATTTTTCATATATCCATCTAGTGTGTCAAACCTGACACTCGACAGCAGGAATACAGTGACATTTATGTCTTCTGAACAAGCCAGGTTGTTTGAGTATTTTAGCACACTGAGCTCCCAGGCGGGCTGTAGCTTTATGAAAGCCCTGTATTGTATTTCTTTCCTGTGCCAGAGCCCGTTTCCTGTGGCGGTGCTGTGTCAAACAACGATGACCCTCTGCTTCCTGCAAGTCGCATGTAGACAGGCCTGCCACGAGCCCTGGGGCCTCACCGTCAGCCGCCGAACAACCTCCAAGCCCCTGCTCTGTCTGTCTGTTTTCAAGTCGTTTGCCACCTTGCCCTTTCTGGATCTCACTTTTTTTTCTCCCACTTCATGTTTCCCTTAATTTCTTGCCTCCCTTTAACTGTTTTTTTATTTCTTTTTCTTCTCTCATCTCTCTTGCACCTATCTCTTCCCCTCCATGCCTAATTTATCACTTGCGACCTCCTGTTTCTCCTTCGTGTTTCCCTGTATCTACACCTCCTTTCCTTTTTGTATCCCTTCTTCCCTCCTCCCTTTGTCCCGCCGTCCAGGTCAGAAGATGGTCTGTCAGACGTTTCCTGTGCAAGCCGCAGTGCCAGACCACACCTCGTGAAGGGGATTTCTGCAGCTAAAGTCAGTGACGCCCCATAGAAACGCAGAGACACGCACAGTCATGTTTGCACATACAGTCATTTGATAAAGTAAAAACTTCTTATGGAAAATTGTAGCTTTTCTTAAGAATATTTGGACAAGTAGATATCTGATCCGCCTTTAAACAGGACCTTCAGTTAAAGGTATCAGCGTATCAGAACTCATCCACAAGGAAACTATCAACATGTTAGATTCTCCAAGATGTTTGTGAGTTTAGTGGACATTTGAAATCCTCCCACGTTCCTCTGAAATGCCATTCTGGGTTCTGCTTAGGCCTTTCCACAGTGGATCTGCCAACTCTTCTTTTTGGGACATTCCTTGGTGGATTTCCTAATGTGATCTGGATAATTACCCTGTTGAAATGTGCCTGTCTGGTTCAACTTCAGCTTTCAAACAGCACTCTTTGATATGATGCACAATTCATAGTCAAATCTGTAAATGCGCTCTGCCCAGTCAGTTAGGCAATAAAGCAACCCCAAACCATAACATTTTCACCACCATGCTTCATAGTTGATTTGAGGTTCTTCCCCTGAAGAATCGCCTACGGTCTGCATCGAGCTGGTCTAACGTCACTGCGGACAAAACTCTAACATCCATCTGTCCAAAGTACATTATTTAGAAACTCTAGTTTTGCATGTACTTACACAGAACCCATCACACCAGTTTCCTCCAGGCACTTGAATAAGATCATGACAAATATTGAAGATTTCTTTTTGCATTAAATGATGTGCTAAGTCACTTCTGAATACCCTTTTAGTCACTCAAGTCCCTGCAATACTGCATATTAATAATTCTTGCATTCTTTATCTTTTTTTATATCTTTACATTTGAGTCTTTATTCATCTCGTTTGCACACTGTGGGCCAAAGATGGAACTCTTATTTTGTCCTGTTTATATGGCAATACTGACTTTGATAGTTCTTACATGGAAACTGTTAATTGCAAATAAATGGGAGATCTTATCACAGTCATAGGTATCCAGAAGGGCCCCCCCCCCCAGTGAATCCTTTTGCTATCATACCTAGCTTTTGGCATGATAGCATCACACTCTTCAACGTCAGAAAGAAAAGCAGACTGTAGATGTCAGAAGTTTAAGTAAGAGATCGTAGGGCCTGTGATTTTGACTTACTTTTTCCAAGCCCCTTGGAAAACTATACTCAATAAGCAAGAAAACGGATTTTGGTGGGGTGTATGCAAGGGATTATTTTTTACATGACTGCATTCAGTGTTTCTGTACACACAGAAAGAATATGATTGTTTTGGGAAATGGGATCCTACTGTGCTGAAATTGTTGTGTGTAGGATAAAATGTATCCCGCACCACACTGTAGATACGCTTGGATCCTGGACACCATCCCAGTCATACGTGAGCACGTGTGTGTACATTGGCACAGTCTTCCATGTTCCACAGACCAGCGGGCCACTTTCAATAGGCTTCTCACCTCCTTCCACTCAAGGTCATGAACACGTGCGCCGGCAGCAATAAACACACTTCACCGTGCATCTCTGAAAATTACCCTTCTGGTCTTCTTCCAGTCCAGGTCAGAGGCAGGAAGTGAGCCGAGAGAAAATGAGGAAGCAGCAGCAGCGCTCTCTTGCTTCAGGTAGTGACCCTGAACCCTGACCTTTAACCTCACCTTGAATCACTCTGACAAAACACAGACTTGCAGCTCCTAATAACCTTAAAGTATATATATTTTTAAAAGTCAGAAATGCTTAAGATGTTAAAACACATTAGTAATATTAACTGAGCATTGAAATAAATTTAAAATAAAAACAGAAAGCTCCTTTATAATTTATCTCTTTATTTTCGGACAACAATAATAACAGTATGTTGCTTTTGTTCACTTTTTTACATTTACAGAAGTGGTGGACTCATGGACTTTGTTCCTTAATCAAACTATTGGACAATGTTTGAGGTAAAGCTGCAAAAAAAGAAATGACTGTTCAGGCATGAACCCTGTCCAAATCCAGCATCCTTAATGCTCGTGTTTGCAGCTGAGAAATTCAAACCTTAGAACTATCTTAGAAGTATCAACAGTCACAAGAAGCCTAGCTGTTTTTGGACAGAGCCCACGGCTTTGGAGGGTGACTGATTTTCCAGAGCTGCCTCACCAGTTCCAGAAGAATAACCTGCTGCCATGTTTGGCAGGCTCCAGTTTGCCCTCGATGGTTTGGTTGGGCTCTGGACGAGGTCTAGAGTGGTAGGGGTTCTCTGGCAGGGGCCGCGAGGTTGCCACTTTGGTGACCTAAGGAAGAAAAGCAACACACAAACCATAAATTCTCAGACATACACAGTATAAACACACTGAAGACTCACTCAAATATTAATTGACACACTGATGTCAAACATGGCAGTTATTAGGAAACAATATAGCACATGCTCCATGCCAATCTCTGACAAGAGATTATGCTTAAACCGCATAATAGGTCCATGCTAAAATGAAACCATACAAAAGTTGTCAACAGCTGAAGCCCTGAACATTTCCTTAGCCTTTCACTGGGCCTTCCATCTCATCCCTTGTCATGATTTATATCCCTGCACCTCTTTGTTTCCCCCAAAATCATCCAGACTCTCCCCTGCTTTGTCCCACCTTCACACCATTTGCCTCCTAACCTTTCTTACAAAAACAGTTTGCTAATTTAAGTTCCAAAATGAGTAACAAAAATGGAATCTGTTTTAAATATATAAGCAGCCAGAAACTTGGTCCAGATGCACATTAAACAAGAACATTTTTCACAGTTTTACAAAGTCACATTTTTGTTCTTTTCTTTGCCGGCTCACATGTTTGAGTCGGTGCACAATATCTCTGTCTAACAAATGAAAGACAGCCAGAAAGTTGATTACAACCATTCAAACGCTCCCAGGTTTTTGGGTTGTTGTTTTTTTTTTTTTTTTTTGCAGAAGTCCTTTTAAAAGACTACATAAATAAATGTGTAATAATCTATTGTTGGCATCGCTTTTTGGCTCCGTTTTGATTGCTGATACCTAAATTAGTGATTGCCAGTGTTATACAAGCCCCTTAAAAATGCTGGTTTTATGGAAAGAGAAAAAAACAAAGCAGCATAAAACTATTTGCCTGCTCAGAACTGTAGCTGAATGAGACTGCATAAGATGCAATCATACATACCCCACAATCAACATGAATAGAGCCCATCAACCGAGCTACAGTACTCACACTGCAAATGCACAAGTTAATCCCTCACCAGTCTCACCTTAGACAGATCTCCCAAGTCAGGTCTCTCCCATCCCAGTTTCTCAAGGACGCAGCTGTCGAAAGCGTGCTGCTGTTTACGGCAGTGACGGAGTTCTGCCAAGTTTGAGTAATCCAGGCAGGTCCAGTACTCCGTGAAGGACTCGGCACAGTTCCCCTTGATTTGCCTAAAAGGCACAGTGCAGACAGACACACATCATAACATGCAGAAGCAGGATTAATCTTCATACAGACTGAATCTGCAACGCATGAAGTGGAAATCTTTCTCTTAAAATATAATTCATTTTTATCCATCATCCATTATTTAAACATTAAAACCACAAAGATGAAATTCATAATATTGACTGTATTGTTTAAATGCGGTGTTCTCTGGGAAATGATCCCAGCATTCATGTGACTAGCACTTTGACGCACACCACCCATGCACCACCCATGTCGCAGACAGACACCAACACACCCACTGCTAACACCTTCACCCTCCAAAAAGTGAAAGCACTCCCCGACAGCAGTGGCCTCCACCCTGCGGAAATGTGCCCTGTCAGAGTGCAAAAGTGGCCTAAGTCACTGGGCCTGACCTCCAGAGTTCCTAGATCCCAATCTGGGAAGTTTGGAGGAAGCAAACTAAGTCAGATGCACAGAGGCTCCTCTCCACATCCTACAGGACACCATCCAGAGATCGCATCAATCCAGCGACCACTGAGAGATGTTTTGGTGGGTGATAAGGGGTACCTACACAATATTAGGCAGGTAATTTTGATGTTTTGATGCCTAGTTGTATGATACTGGTGCTTGACACCAGTCAGCTGACACCAATCAGCACCAGTATCCCACCAGTCAGTGGGATTTTCAAAAGAATGCATATCATAGGAGTCAATAATTCAAGAATGTAAAGGACAGAGCTGCTCAAATTTAAGAAACCAAATGTATTTAAGAACTTATATCAGCGTATGGTTACTCTGCTTGTGAGCAGTCACTTGTTGATTGAATCTGATTGCTATGGGCTGGTTTTCTATAACAAGAACACCTAAAGGTGGCTGGCAGTTGCCAGAAACACCAGAGAATCAAAACAGGCCCCTGGTGCAATTACAACTTTTCTCAAATCTATCTTCATTATCATAATTGCAGGTTTTTCTCTCACAAAAGCACCTCAGTTACTGCACAGGCGTCACAACATAACCAAAGCTCAGAATAAAACTTTTCAGTAAACACAGACACTGCACTTAAAAGTGAAAAAGGCCAGACCACAAAGTTTTATGGACACAATACGCTTCATGGGTAATTTTCTTATTCATGTTCTAAATCGGCCACTTTTTCTACTAAAGAGAGGGAAAATTACTGGAGTGTTTTCTACATCACACTTAATGAGCTCAAGTTGATGATTTATTCTTATGTTTTTGGATAATTTAGAGAAGAGGCTGAGTAACTCAGAACAGAGAAATGACAATCTGGAACTGATTTTTATAAAGTCAAAATCAATATACTGATCAATAAGTAAAGAGAACATGATAAATAAAAAGCTTTGTGGAAACAAATAGTGACTCAACAGGACAAATGATGCAAAAGTGCAAGCGGCTGTGTGATTATCACACATTACACAATGGAAAATAACTCTTCAACGTATGCGGCAACAACCCTAAAGTTGAAGTAACTGAAATTTTGATGAAATATCTATTGAGGCTCATACTGATCTCATTAAAAAAATGTCACTGCATAAATCAACCAGCAAAATGCAACAAGATTTAAAGGTTTCTTCCCATAACTTGAGTGCTCAACTTGTGCACTCATCCTCCCCCATCTTACATTAGGATGTACTTTGGATAATTGTCACACTGAACCACCAACCTTCTGATCAGTAGATGACCCGCTCTAGTTCCTGAGCCTGGGTGATGTCATGATCGAGATGCTGAATCACCCAGTAATGTTTCACATACTTTAAATTAGCCATTGGCGATCGTGGCTCAAGAGTTGGGAGTTCGCCTTGTAATCGGAAGGTTGCCGGTTCGAGCCCCGGCTTGGACAGTCTCGGTCGTTGTGTCCTTGGGCAAGACACTTCACCCGTTGCCTACTGGTGGTGGTCAGAGGGGTCCAGTGGCGCCAGTGTCCGGCAGCCTCGCCTCTGTCAGTGCGCCCCAGGGTGGCTGTGGCTACATTGTAGCTTGCCATTGTGTGAATGTGTGTGTGAATGGGTGGATGACTGGATATGTAAAGCGCTTTGGGGTCCTTAGGGACTAGTAAAGCGCTATATAAATACAGGCCATTTACCATTGCAAACATTTTAGGCAAAACTGATTTCACAACAGCACACAGTCTCAAACCAAATGGTAGCATGAATTTCAGGATGACATACTTTGGATTTTGTCATTACAATCTTTTTAATTAATTAATGAATTTGTTTAACTGATCTCATGCTGCTCTTTTAGCTGCTTTAATACACTGGCAGCATCTCCTCCCTTTGTGTCTGGAAAACACAAATACATTGTTTGCATATTGATCTTTGTAAATCACTTATCGTCACTTGGTCCTTGGATAACACCCATATAAATTTTTATGTGATATAAAAAATGTCATATCACTATATCATTGCTATAGTAACGCCATAAATTTATGTTCCCTAGTGCACAACAACAGGATCAGCACGGCCGTGTCTGAAAGCCAAGCATCAGTCTCCCATGATGAGTACCTAAAAGGTACCTCAACAAACTCCAACAGTTCTTTCCTGTTCCTGCTAAAGGTGGAAACTAACGCATTTCGCCAATTGTGGCAGAAGCACATTGTCAAGTACAACCGTGCTACAAAGGAGGAGATACAAGCAGCTGATGAGGTGTGACTTAAATGTAAACAAATGACTCCACCGAGTGTTGCTGGAACACTCACTAGTTACACTCCATATGGCAGAAAGAGCAAACAGAGGCTGGAGATTACTGATGTGGTTACATAATGGAAAAACAAGCAGCTGTCTAAAAGCTCGATCCAAAGTTCAGAATTTAAAGTTGAAAATATGTTTCTGGTATAGTTTTATTTAAGGGACATGGCTTACTTATAAATTCTCAGCATCAATAAAATGATGGGTACTTCATCATTGATGGGTTCCTTGGGTACTTTTCCATTAGGAAAAAGTACCCAAGGAAAACTTGAAACTGTTTTTAGGGCTTTCCATTAGGTCAGCGGTCCCCAACCCCCGGGCCACGGACTGGGTTGTTTGGTACCAGGCTGCGAGAGTTGAGGCTCGGGTGTGAAATTTATGGTTTTCAGGGATTTTATTGTTAGCTTGGTTTCCCTGGGTCTTTTCCCGTGTTGTAGTTGTGTGTCTTGTTTTGAAAGATATATTTACCCGTTACCATAGCGACCAGAGAGCATAAAGGGGCAGAGAGCAGGATGTTACTCTCAATGTTGTTGGTGCATTTCAAGAGGACGCTGCTAATAAAGTTACACAATTACACAGTGAATTCGCTTATTATTAATAAATTTACAAAATACCACAGTTTTTGTCTTGGTCGTATCATTTTATTTTGTTGTATTCATCCGCGACACCTTAAAGGCCGGTCCGTGAAAATATTGTCTTACATTAAACCGGTCCATGGTGCAAAAAAGGTTGGGGACCGCTGTATTAGGTGATAGTACCAGGTACATGGTACTTTTTTAGTACCTACTCAATCGAGGTTCAAAGCAATCAGAAAATGTGACGTTGTCAGACTGCATGTCACCGATTGGCTAGTCAGTAGCATCACTTGATAAATAATGAGAGTGTCTCCTTCAAAAAAATCAAAACCACCATTTTTGCAAACCAGCAACAAGGGAACTAACACTGACTAACACTAACAGAGCTAACACTGTGGTCCCCGATTCTGACAAAAAGCCACTGACTGCACTGCAGGTATAACATCACCTCAATGTTGTAGCATTCATGTTGCATACAAATGATGTCACGGGACGTTGAGCCGTGTTAATATAACAACCCCACGTACACATTAGGTAGTACTCGACTGTAATGGAAAATGACTTGAGCCAAGTAGTATCGCCTCTTGTCGCATTGAGAAGACTAGGTAATAATGGAAAAAATGCTTACTTCTCTAGAATCTAGTTGCTCTTCTCCATCCTTGATGTTACATGGAAACCTGATTATCACCACCTTTTTCTTCCCTTGCACTACTTTTAAGTCACATATTCAACTTTACCATGACGTTTACTCAGTTATGTTAATAATTTATTTTAACCAAAAGTCAAAAGATTGAAAACCTTATTAGCAGTAGAAGACACAGAATATGAAACTTCCCAACTCTGCAGTCTTCAACAACTTTGAACTATGAAGGCACAACTGTCCAAGAGCAGCATTGGAAACCTCAGAACACATTCTCTTACCCACATGCCCATCACCAAGAAATGCAAAAGTATCTGACCAGAGTTTCACATGGACTCCCACAGTCTGCACTTTCAGCTGGCTCCAAAGTCAAGCCACATTTTCAATCACTCTCTGACCACAAGCACACTGTTCACTTTTGCAGATGACAACAATGCAGCAGCCCTCAGCTCTAAAAATATAATTACTCTGCCTAATCACCGGAGTATCGCCTTTCTGTCAAATATCATGACAACGTCAAGCCAAGGCATAAGGAAAAATGTTATTCTCGCAGAAATGACAAAGCTCATCCTTTCACCATTCAGACTGCTCAGACAATACGTCTAAGACCTCATCAATCCAGTCCTGTTTGTATATAGTCTCCTGCTTTCAGTGTTCACTTTCAGATATTGTGTCCATTCATACCAGAACTATATGGCACCAAACTACTACCTGAAGAAGTTGAGTGCACACTCATTGACCTTTCTCCCTTCCTCTAGGCACTTCCGGGGATCCTTCTCCTCCCAACGGCAGAGCATGAACTCTTTGTTGGGTTTGTCACATTGGGAGCCATAATGGTGGGCAGCAGCCTTCAGTACCGAAGAGGACACTTTTATCTGCACAGAAAGCAACACATGGAAGACAATTAGAATGAAAAAGGAACATAACTACAAGAGACACTAACAAATAACAATTATGCAATTGGTGTTTTCATGAGACACACTTTAGTTCACTTCAATTTTATGTATATAGCACCAACTCAACAAGAGTGTATATTAAGGAAGCACTTAGTACTAGTTTTATTTTGGTATATCAACAAGAAACATAAGACAGACCACAGTGAAGCCAAAGTTTATTTGCAATGTCTCTCTCTAGATGGGCTGTGTTTAAAAAAACACAAACAAAAGCCTGGATGCAGTTCCCAGTAGGAATTGTAAATGAACCTTGTATTGATCAGTTAATAAAGAAAAAACAGCATGATGTGACATAAAGAGATGTGTTGCTACTTTAATATTCCCATTACAACTGCCTTGTAGTGATCACTACTAATGTGATTTAATTTATAGCTGCTATATGCATTATTATCTCATGAAGAGCAGGCACGCTCAACATATTAAGAGCTTCTGCTGTGAAAACATGTCCTTGAGCATCTGAACTGTTGACTGTTTATTTTTGTCCAATAAGAAACACAACCTATACAATAAATAAATACATTATGAAGCAAAACTCTACACAGAAGTACAAATTCTAACATGAGAATGACCACTTTAGCCCACAAATTCTGGCTTTTTTAAAATCTGAATATTTTACTAGGACTGCCCCCATGGTAAAATTGCGGCCTGGTCAGTGTTATAATAAAACTTTAGCTATAGCCAACGCATGCATCTACTCGTTTTGCATTTCCATTTTATCAAAGGAAAACATTTGCTTATTTATTTCTGAACTTTTTTTAATCTCCTCGTCACCCTACACATGTAAACATTTAGCCAGCACAAAATTAATGTGAGAAAAACCAAAAAAAAAAAAAAAAACAGACATCAACCACTGTTTGCCATTGATGCCATTTGACACATTATGAAATGTAATGATTTGTTTTATTTTTGAAAAATAATGCAAATAATGTTTAAGGTGAAATCAAATGTTCACAAATGAAACAGGAGTGTAAACATTATTTGTGACAGTTTCAGGATTTAAATATACAAAAAGCTAAAGTAAAAGAAAAAACTGAGATTAAATAATAATATCTCTGTTGCTGGTGTTGAATTATGTAGTAAAAATGACATTATTAAACGCTTTTTACATTTAAATGATTTATATTATCTACAACAATATTTCTGAGGGCTACATAAGTTAATGATATAGCTGTTTTCTTTGTGTCTTCTCTTTTGGAGGGTAAGGCAGCTTTAACAATATGAATGCAGGTCAGATATATACAAGCATTGCTTCTATCTGACCCTGTTCAGCCACTACTTCTAATATAAGTGAATTTACTATCTGTATCAAATATCAATATCAAAATCTTTCAACAAGGTAAACATGTTGGTGCATTTCTACAACATATAAATATATCTGTGTATATATACTATATTCTTCTCTTCATGTTCTCTTTAAAATATCTGCAGGGGTCTTGCCAGGTATTTAACAAAAGTCATACTGTACTTAAAGAAAGTTTGTCTCACAAGCTGAAAGAGTATGCTTTAGCAAAAGCTTGATCAAGTGCTAGGATGTTAGGACAGATCTAATTTAATGGTGCAGGCTCGTTTATTATATCCTCGGTGCTATTATTGTTGGACAGGCACAGGCTGCTGCTGCTGACAGCTATCACCTGACTTCCAAAGACAAGTTCAATATGTCAAATAGCACTGCTACAACAGACTGGTATAAGAACCGAATGGAATCGAAAGCTCCTTTCACCCTGACAGCTATAACCAAATGTACATTCTGAATGCACATTTGCTACACTTAAAAGACTCAAGACGTTAACGCCATATATTGTTGTCAAAAATAGTTATCATAAAGGCACCCGAAATATTTAACACCTTCCTGTGCTATAGTAAATATTCACTCACGTGTGTATAGCATTCATCAATATAATATAACTATCTTAGCAAGTAAAGCTAGTGGCTTAAAGTTTACAGCTTTTCAGATGAACCGTGCAGCAGCTATCCCTTCAGCTAGCTACTTAGCTGGCTTGTCCCGTCTTCTTCATTCATGCTAAACAATAATGGCCGCTCACCTCGTCCACCTTCATCTCCTGCAGGGTGGGGACTTCCAGCTTTGTGGGCATGACTGTGTAGATGTGCAGTTAAAGAAATCAAGAAGCTCAAATACCGCTGGTGAAAAACATTCAAGGTCCTCGTCAGACGTGAGAGCGACGAGGCCGTAAAGAAGGTCAGTTAACTTCCCCTGCTACTGTCAGCTAGTGGCCGCGCTCTGATGACGCAATTCACAGAGCGACGCGGAGTCGCATGCGCACTGTCAAAAGACTTTTAAGAAAATAAAATTGGATTGACATTTATCATATTTTATTTAAAAATGAATAAATCCAACAAACTATGAAAAAACATTTTTTTTAAGATGAGTAGAAACCAATAACTTGTTCAACAGTCGTATTGTTGCGTCATTGCCATGGTAACGGTATACCACTTCACTGCTGTTTTCAGTTTTTTTTAATTGTTTTTAGATCGACTTTGCATGCTTTTTCCACCCTACATAGAACCCAGGACATTGTGTTAATGGAGCATATCGGAAGCTGTTACAATGGGGCAACAAAATTTGGCAGGTAGTTTGGCCGTTGTTGTGAGCCACAGACACAGTGTTTGCATGTGTGCGTGTGTTTGTGTGTGCTCGTATACTCAAACACAGTTCATAAAACAGTGTGTTTTTTCTCTGCTTCAGGATGGAAGGTGAAGGAGAGTACACCTTCCCTACAAATACAAGATATGTGGGAGAGATGAAAGATGGAATGTTCCATGGCAAAGGAGTGCTGTACTTTCCAAATGGAAGTAAATATGAGAGCACCTGGGAAAACGGCATAGCCAAACAGGTGAACAGTTTTGTATGCGTGTCCATCCCTTCATGTCAGACTGTCTGCAGCCACATGCATAACTGTGTGTGTTTCACATTGGTTATAGCTGATATTATCTGATATTACATCTGGTCCCTTTTAGTAATCACTCACAGTTATTATCGTAGTAATTAGGTTTGCCTTTTTTCGGTAGGATCTTTAGCCTCTCCTGCTCTAAAGTAAACTTTCATGAACCTCACTGCAATAGCAATCACTACAATTATTATCATCACTGCTGTTGCGGTTCATTTGAAATGATAGTAGCTCTTACCCATGACAAACCTTGGCCCAGACAACCCAGCACCTGCTTTTAGTGCCAGTGAAAGACCTGCAACTTACCTCCATGCAGAACAAATCTAAACAATTCAATAAACCCAGAAGTTTCCTCCAATGTTTGCCTTTTCTATGCGATCCTTTTGTAATACCAATTAGCTTTTTTAAAAGAACTGGCAAATGTAATAAAAAAAAATAAAATAAAAATAAGAAGAGCACAGATTACAGGCGCTCAGGATCTTTATTCACAGCCTTAGTTAGAGTTGTGCAGGTGCTGAAACTGCTTCTGGCAGTGGAGAATGAGCAGGCCTGGAGGTTCCAAGGAGCAAAGGCATGAGGTTGGAGCCCAGAGAGGCTATATGTCAGAAATGTGGCTGGCTGGCACACAAAAAGAGCTCTAGAGCACAGAGAGTCATGGGAGCAAAAACTAAGCAAAGATTGTGAGTAAGCATGACACTCAGTCAGACAGTGGCTGCATGATTTGGTCTTAATACATAAGGAGCAGGCTTGAAAACCAGGGATCCAGGAGAAACCAGTGAGCAGCCATGCTCCTGGGAAGACCTTACAGCATTACGACCCATACATATGCTGTATAGTTAACAGCATTAATCGAAGCTGCTGCTCCTGGATCCCTATCAGCTCACTGACATGAGATAATGGTGCACTTCAATGGAGCAGATTTATTGGTTACACACCTAGTGCAGGTTTCAGAGATGTACTCTGAATATGACTTAGACTAAATGTCAAGGTCTTAGCTGTTTTTTGTTTTGGGGATATTGAATTCCTTGTGAATATATTTGAGTTTGGGCTTCTGTGGAGGTTTATTGTTATTTCAGGTGTTTCCCGTTATGATCTCTGTGTTGGATTTCTGGATTCCTGTTTTGATTTCTTTATTGTAGTAGATTGAGAGCTTTATCTTAGGTGACATTCCTGTTTGACTTTACAGTTATCCTTTTCGGATCCTTGTCCTTATTGGATACAAGTAACACGTTACTTGTATCCGATTACTTTTTTCAAGTAATGAGTAGAGTAAGGGATTACTATTGCAAAACAGTAATTAGATTACTGTTACTTTCCCATAAGCACGCTACGATACTGCGTTGCTAAACCGTGATTTTGTTTGTGAGAGTGTCTCATGACAATGTCTTACAAGTGTGCGACATCTGTGGCAGCAACAGACGTGTGTAGATCAACAATGGATACTATGGAGTGCAGGAGAGAGCACGACCATGTAGCGTTTAAAGCTTGGAAGTACTTAAATTACTTCAAGTTTTATTCTGTAAAAAGTGACAAAAACATAAACTCCACTGTAAACTCTGCATAGGAGGAAAACTTCTTTCTACAGCAAAAAATTAAACTTCAAATCTGAGCAATTATCTAGGACACTGCCATGAATGTGAAATTCACAGAGAAAGCCCCGGATCCCCCCGCTGACATGACAGTTGCGGCACCTGGCAAACCCCTGACAGCCCCATTTCTGCTAAAAAAGTGAAAATAGATTTAAGAACGACAGGACTTAGTGCTGCTGGATCTTTGATTTTATTAATTTTTTGCTGTTTTACTTGCATCTATTTGAAAGAGTGAGTGTAAACACAAAATTATTTTATATGCTGGAATATGCAGAAAATAGGTTTTGTTACGACCCCTTCTGCTAGGCGACAGGGGCAGTCTCACTTCCTCCAAGGCCCAGGGCCGTAACAGTTTAAATGTTAAACAAATTTCTTCAAAGTCAAAGACTGTTGCATATAATTTATTTTTTGCAAGATGCGATGTGCATAAAGTTAAAAGATTTAAAACTAATAAAACAAGTTTTAAAAAGAGTATTTTTTATTTGATTACAGGTCTATTGCTTTATTATGTATTCAGGTTGTGTGTCATGTTTTTTAAAAGTAACTAATAAAGTAACTAATTACTTTTGAAAAGAGGAAATCAGTAAAGGAACGGGATTACTTTCTTGGAGAAGTAATCAGTAATTAGTAACTAATTACTATTTTCAAGTAACTTGACCAACACTGCTTATGAATGGCTTAAAATATTTTTTCAAGTGGCTCAAAAAGCTTCAGTCGAGTCATGCAGAATGTAAACAACTAAATAAATAACTATACATAATAAATGCCAGGGAAGTCTGTTTATGTTATGTGTGTCTGAAAGGAAAAAAAAATATCCGCTGATATGTTGCAATACCAGATTTGTAAATAGCCAAATATCAGTATTAATATTGGTCTTGAAAATATCACTATAACAGTTGAACTCTAGTTAAACTCTAATTAAAACTATCCAGAGTATCTAACTCTACTTATGCACTGAAAGAAAATGTGTGTATTTTTTGAAAGATTTTGACAGTTATAAGGATATTTTTATTGGGAAAAATTAGGAAAGCATGGAAGAACAATGAAAAAATATAGATATATAGCTAAAAATGACTGGAAAGTGTAATGCTGTAAAAAACAAACTAAAAAAAACAGGCGGCCGTCTGCCGCCATCTGCTGTGACTGGTTGGGGGGGGGGAATGAGGGAGAAAAGAGGCAGAACAACAAACAGCGTCTTTCTTGTATCATCCCTTGAGGATAAATAAAGTTCACCCCAAATACCAAAAGGCATATTTTTCCACTTTCTCCTTGAGATATGTATCTGTGCAGACAGCTTTGGTTTTATCTGCTGAGGTTTGGAGATATTCATCACTGAGAGCTCTGCGTCAATCGAAAGACAATGGAGGGAAATTTAAATTCTTCTGGGTTCTCAGAGAACTCAAAACTGACATTTGAAAACCGCAGCTTCAACTTATCTTTCCAGAAACCATGCCTGGGGTATGCAGAATAACCCAGACCCAGACCTTACATGCAGCAAAGTTTGCTGGAATATTCCGTACGATAACTGTCATCAGTGAGATCTGTGCATTATCTTGGGTTTTTCACTGATTTGAGGAGCACACGTTACATTTCTTTCACTAACAGTGCACTGGGATTGGGGAGGATACAGATATTACAGCTTTGGTAAAGAAAACCCTCACTTTCCACTTGTAAGATATCACTGATAGGTGGTTTTTATTAAGCAGACTTAATTATAAGGATACTTCACAGGTCTGTGTGTGCTTCCACACCAGGGGACATTTACCTTTGCAGACGGACTGCAGTACCAGGAGAAGGACTGGAGCTACTGCGATGGTTATGACAGACGCTTCTACACGGAGAGGTGCAATGGCCTCAGACCTGCAGGTTGGATCTTATTTTCTAGACCACTCCTAAACAAACACACAAGGAATGATGAGCATATAGTGTACAAGCCAAGTCTCTGTATTGTTTGGCTGAAAGCTTCCTCTCAGTGCTGGATAATTTGTAAACTATGAGTTTTATCTGAACAGCTCTTTCTATTTCGGTCCCTGTTTTTACCTAGCAAAGTTATGCAGGCAGTTCTGTCATCCTGCTTCATGAGCCAGAGTCTGTGTTCATCACTGGCCTGACAAATAGATGGTTTTACCTCTAAGTCATTCCTCAGTCAAATCATAATAATTCCATCTATTCATACAGGAAAATCTCAGATAACAGATTTGCATCCTCCACGAGCCATTCCTGATGGATGTTATGACTGTGGAGATGGTTTCTATAACCCCAGCACCAGAGTGGTCACAGCCTACACCGGCAGGTTTCTCAGGAGCGCAGGTGAGAGCAAAGCTCGCTAACCATTAGGAGAGGTGTGCTCATTCATATTAATTTTTTGTTATATACTAGTGGATACTTTGTAGCTTGTACCCCTGATCCACACAAGAAGCAGAATTATCTGTATTTTCACAACAAAATCCTCCTCTTTCACTGCTTACCCCGCTGCGGTTTTGTGCACATTTTTCCACTTGTTTTGTTGCCAAACTGGCTCTGTCCACTGCTGAGCAATATCCAGGCACCGTGGCCTGTTGCGCCAAGGTAAATTAGAAAGATTAAAGGCAAGCTCAAACACAAAATTTCCATTTCAAATTATGTACACAAAGTGTTACGTCCAGTAAAGCACCTGTCAGTGATGGATTGCTTTATGTTAAAATATATTTATTCAGTAACCTAATAAAGTATGTCCATTTGTTTCTACGACTGACCATAGCTAGAAACAATATTAATTCCAGTAATCATGTAATTAATTTAACCTTAGCTTCAAATTTACCGCATGTGTATGTACAGCAAATATAAGTTTTGCACCTATGTTTAAACTAATGCTTGGATCATAGAAGAAAGCAAATATTTCCTCACAATATGGTTCTGTGTGACTGAGAACACACGTTGCTGAATTTAAACAGGAGGGAATCAAGTAAAAAGCAAGGCTGAGAGGTTAAATGATTGATTGATTGATTGATTTGGCGTGAGGTACACAGGTGAGGAGTCTCTGGTGATCGGGTTTTACTGTAACATAATATTTAAGAGGCTACTGATGGAATGAGCTGTGCACAAATATTCCCTGATGGAGGGAGCGGTGGAGCAGGGCTGAAGAGTGATGCTAAAGAATCTGGACGGATGTGATGAACTTAGTTGGAAGGACAACAACCGTGAACACTGGCGGTGATGTAAAGCGCGAGGCGAAGAAAAGGGTTGCACTAATCGGATGCTGAAATGACCGCTGACAGGAGCAGAAGACTGTTTCAAGACTATCGCGGTGCATCCAGATGGGAGGTGGGCAATTGTGTGAAAAATATCATATGACACCAGTTGAATTTCACAAACAAGACTTTTCTGATACTACTGCACAAGCTTGATTGATTAAAAAAAAAGTAAAAAGTAGGGTATGGGGTGTAGGTGAATTTTTTCACTTTTGAAATGGGCTGTTCTAGACGTTCGAGAGCTGCTGATGAGACATGGTGAGAGAGAGAATGTAAATTGCATTAGTCTTTCTGATTGAACTTTTGCTAAACTTCATTAAACTCTATTGAAGCTACTTTTAAACATAGTAAATATTCAGTTCCTCTTTCAGAGTTTCATACGTTCTGTTCTGTGCATCTGCCTGCACAGTATGTCCGTCAGCGAGATTACACAAATAGTTCAGGCAAGCGAGACATGGTGGAAAGGTGGATCTGATCAAAGGAAAAATCCACGAGTGACTCACTTTAAAAACGTGAGTTATGGCAATGGCATCAGTGAAGGATTTGCTTTACTAGAGCGCTTTTAGGACCCTTTTTCTTTCATCATATTTAATAACTACAACTCTCAAAGTATACAGTGTGGCCATATGGAAAGGTCTTGATAAGACTGAACCCATGGAGTGACATTAATGGATTATCCTTGCATTATCTGATTGCAGATCACTGTTGCATTTCATCTGATAGGCAAGCCTCTATAGGCTACAGCAGTAAAAATTTTTTCTCTTTTGTTATTTGTCAAAAGTGGAAAATTGAAGACACATTTTTCCACTGAACGAGTGCCCAGACTGGAAGTCTTGATTCGAAGTGAACGCAGTCTGTCGGGTGTCCCAAATTCTGACATCCTCTGTTTGTCGTGTCTCCCTGCCATGATTTTTCATCACTAGAAAATGTAAGACGTATAGTCAGTGTCATGTTTCTAGGGCTGACAACATCAGGCTGTCGTCAGGTGGCTTCCCAGTCGATCCAACAATCTGATCTGGATAAATATCTCAGCTCCCACATAGATAGCTGTGCACTTTATTCAGGCCTTAGTAGGCCTCATGCCTGTAGGGTTTGCAGTCCTTTCTCTGAACATGTGCTCTGCAATGTATTGACAAACTCCTGCAAAACTCTTGTAACACTGGTTTTAATTGCCGTAAGCCTACAAGTCAGTGTTTTCTGACATTCTTTCATTGTTAAATAAAACAGAGTCCAGCTTCAATGTCTGGCTTTTTATCTAACCATTTTCAAATCTGCTTTATTTTGTGTTTGAATCTGATTGACTCTTTTTCCTCTTTAGGAATCACAAACAAGTCTTAAGAAATGATTCTTGGCACAAGTTACAAGGTGACTCACGAGCTCCCTGAGGTATTAATGTATTTCGGGGCAGGATATTTGTATTTAGATGAGCTACTTGTAACACAATGCAGATTACTTCCACCGGTACACAAACCTCATTTACATATGTGTAGAGAGAGAATCAAACAGATCCACATCCTTGCCAGATGTCATCGGTATGTGTAAGAAGACAAAAATTTGGTTCACGATCCTTTACTTAATGCGAGTTGTTCATCATCATTATAGTTCTGGTATTGATCTGCAGAGTGATGAAGAAAGGGAGATATGGGGGAAAAGAATAAGGGAGGATAAGAAGGAAAGAT